GTTGGGGACACAGGGGACACAGCTGGGGGCCTGGTGGCACAGCCATGGGGCAGGAGCGGGGTTCCCGGTGCTGCCAGCCCCACGTCAATGCCATCCCCAGCGCGGACCCCGTGCTGCGTGACATGTGGCCTGACGGTGAGCAGAGCATCACCGAGGTCACCAAGCGCCCGCTGACCACTGGCACGCTCTTCAAGAACTCCATCGTGGCCCTGGTGGAGAACCTCGCCTCCAAGGTAGGGGACCAGGGACACTGGGCACGTCCCCAAGCCAGCCTGGTGTGTCCCTGCACCGGCCTGGCGTGTCCCTGCACCAACTTGACATGTCCCTGTGCCACCTGGGCATGTCCCCAACCCATCCTGGTATGTCCCCATGGCAGCTGGGCACGGCCCAAGATGCACAGGCATGCTCCTGAGCCAGCCAGGCATGTCCCCAAGCCAGCCAGGTCTGTCCCCAAGCCAGCTGAGCATGTCCCCAAGCCAGCCAAGGTGTCCTCAAGCCAGCCAAGATGTCCCTGAGCCAGCCTGGCATGTCCCCAAGCCAGCCAGGTCTGTCCCCAAGCCAGCTGAGCATGTCCTTCTGCCAGCCAGGCATGTCCCTAAGCGAGCCAAGGTGTCCCTGTGCCAGCCTGGCATGTCCCCAAGCCAGCCAAGATGTCCTTGAGCCAGCTTGGCATGTCCCCGAGCCAGCCAAGGTGTCCCTGTGCCAGCCAGGCAGGTCCCTAAGCCAGCCAAGATGTCCTTGAGCCAGCCTGGCATGTCCCCAGCAAGCCAAGATGTCTTTGAGCCAGCCTGGCATGTCCCCAGTCAGCCAAGGTGTCCCTGTGCCAGTCTGGCATGTCTCCAAGCCAGCCAAGATGTCCTTGAGCCGGCCTGGCATGTCCCCAAGCCAGTGAAGATGTCCCTGTACTAGCCTGGCATGTCCCCAAGCCATCAAGACCTCCCGTCCCCATGCCACCCATGCGCGGTGCAATCCCACCTTGCGTGCCCGAAGCTCCCCAGCCCAGGACACCCGTGGGCTCGGTGCCACTCACGGGCGCCATCGTGGTGCCACCCCCTCCGTGTCCCCCGCAGGAGCCCTACTACGTGCGCTGCATCAAACCCAACGACCAGAAGTCGCCGACGCTC